AACTCCCTGCTGGAAGCTATTGTGCATATTGTAAAAGGACCGTTGCTAAGTGCCAATTGAGCTAGTACTGTATACTTGCCATTTTAAAAGAAGATTTCATACCACTTGATTATGTTAAATAGAAATGTTTGAAATTTAAACTGAATTACATCAAAATGGCACAGTAGTTATACGTCTAAAGAGCTGCTGCTACTCTCTCTCATAACTAATGTCAATCCCTTCTGGTAGACGGTTTTATGTGAAACTGTGACACAGAGTATATTACAGGCGAAGTTTAGAGAGCCTTGATGTAAAGAAGTCATAAATAAATACTACCGTAAAACCAGACCTGTGTTTGTATTAACAAGCAAGAACTCCTTTGCGATAAAGTACTTCAGCCAAAAAGAGATACCATTTTTTAAGGTCAGAACTTCATCTTTAGCCTTTAAGTTGCATTAAGGTGTTAGAGGTTTTTCTGTGCAGATGACCGTTATTTAGGGGAACTCAGTGAGTTCCACTAATACATTCTAGAGAATATATTTCATAGAAATAGTGCAGAAATTACCTCAAGATAACTGATCAAGAACAAAAAGAAATAATAATATTAACAATAGCTAGTCAGCGTCAGAGTCCAACTGGAATCAGAAATCCAAGATCATTATCAGTCAAATGGGAGAGGAAAATGAATGATATGGCACAAAAAGCTGGAAGTTTACTAAGAAAAAAAAAAAGGGGGAAAGAAATGGGTGCCTGCTCTGTATGTACAAATCTGGTATTTTTATGATCTGTAACTAATGACATTACATGCAGAGATGGGCAAAAATAATAAATTACTTTTAAAAAGCTACTTCAGGAATTAAGAATTTGAGAGAAATTTGATAAGTAGTTCTGGGGGAGGAGAGAAAAAAAACTCAGATACTTTTAGACTAATTTTACTATTCAGAAAACATATTCTTCCAAGTTTTCATTTTGAATTTTTTGGTTTAGTTTTTTTTCCTAAAAGAGACGAAATTCAGGTAAACTATATACTTCTTTTTCTAAAATAAATGAAATAAATATCAGTCAAATCTGAGGGAAAGGCATTGTCTGTTTTTTTTTCAAGGACTTTATATTCCAGGTGGTCTGGAAATTCTAAAATACAGTTTTTCATTTAGAGAAATGTAAAAGAAATGTAAGAGAAAAGTAAATCATTTAAACAGCTCAAATAACACTCCAGGGTCACCAAATATGTCATTACCCATTCTAGAATAGGATTTTATCCTACACTGTGATGAAATGCTCTGTTGACCACTCCCTCACCCACTCCCACTGTAGTCAATCTGATTTTACCCTTGGAAGGCAACAGATAATTTCCCTAACAAAAGAGGAATGGCACTCTAATGCATTTTCACTCAGAGTCCTGCAATGTCACCAGAATGAGATGGTTGGTGGGCTGCGCTGGAAATCATAACTTGTGGAAGGTCCTCGTATGGTTACAAGGGTGCACACAGTGGTCAACAAAATGTTGCACCCCACACACCTTCTAGAACCTTTTTCAGCTTCCTAGAGGCTGGGCTGTACAGTCTGACATGCCTCTTCATCTGATGGTTGTACTCCTGATCTCAAGCTTCGTTTCCAGTAATGGCACCTGACCTACTGGCACGTTCTAAGATAGGAACAAGACCTCAGGCTGCCTGTTCTGTTACAAAATTAAAACCTACTGTTCTTCACACAGCTGAAGATAAGCTCTTTTTAAAATGTATTGTAGTGGTATTCTTAATTTTCATTTATTATCTACAGCCTCTATACCCTCAAGACTTCTCTGTTAGGACCTTGCTGTAGTTTTAGTCTGAAACACAACTTGAAATTTCTCTCTTATTTGGCTCCAGTTAAAGCACAATAATATGTACTTTGAGTTAAATGTTGCTTTTGACTGGAATCCGGTTGTGGTCAGCTCACTCGTGGGGCAAAGAAAGAAGCGTGGCAAGTTTCTGTGGTGACAGTGCTGGAGCGTTGTAGCGGTGACACAGCAGGCCCAGTTACAGTAACTCACTCCCCTAAACAGTTACTCCTGGTAACCTCTTTTGTAGCAGGACCCTTCTTCTTCAAGCTCCCACTGTAACTGGCACACTGAAGCTCTCACACGACCTCTTGCATGAACAGCAAACACCAAGTGAAAGCACAAAAGGATCCTCTGAGGCATTAATCCTCTCCTGGATGCAGTGAACAACACCTGGCACAAGAACCAACATCCCAGGCTCAGACCAATGCCAACCTTCTTCTTCTGTTTTGGTTTGTTTGTTTAATAGAAACAATTTTACCATACAAGGAACAAATCTAAATATGCAGGGTTTAGCTTTTTATAGCTTTACTCTTGATTTCTGTTACTTTATCAAGTAGTCAAGAAATTATTACTATCTTTGATAGTCTCTGGAGCATTCCAGAGCTGGTTTGGTTTGTTTGTTTGTTTGTTTCTTCTTTTCTGTAATTTACTTATTTAGTTCATTTCTATTTCCTAGTCAAGAGGCAATATCGCTGATTTAATAAGTAAGCAAAACTAGCACCTCAGGTCCTTCATTTTTAAGCTCCTTCAAAGCTTTTTAGCTTCCAGTTTTCAAACTCTTTTGAATGCCTGATCCTTACTTGTTTATTGTTTGACTTTATTTCAAACTGAACAAGAAGAAAATACCTTCCTGCACTTTTCATTCTCATGTTTTGATGAGTTGAAAAAAGAGGGGTCATTATGGTTATGTTTGTGTCCAGGAAAAATCAGCTATAATATATTTACTAGTCGTGTTAGAAAAGCACAGTTATGCAACTATGGCTGCAAAAAAAGCTCTTCAAGGGATAGAGCTATACATGTCCCCAGAATAAAAGCCTTTGACTAAAAGCATTTGCAAAGTACTAATTCTTACCTTCCACTACCACAACCTCCTTTGCACTTATATTAATGTTTACAGTGTAAATGTTGTACCCATTAAAGGGGTATATAGTGTATAAGTATGGACTGATGAATCATCATATAAGTGAGTGAGTGTGCTGGAAACTGAGGATTATGTAGTACATGTGATGTACCTTCTATTACAACACTCATTTGTTCACTGAAGTATTTTAAAATGTGTAGATTTAAAATAATAAAGAAAATCTTTTTTTTTTTACATTTTGCTTTGAATTTTTATGCTGAATTTTATTGAAACATACTTTTTAAAATCAGTCATTTTAGTATCCATTTTTATCAAATTATAATCTTTTACCACTTAATAATAGAGAAGCAGAAGCTTTTTAAGCACATAACAACTGTGACAATTTGATGGAATTCAGTTTGAGTAATAATTTTATTAAATAATATATTTCTTTTTAAAAATACCATTTATTAAAACATTATCCACAATTTATGCAGAGCAGTAAAGCAAATGTCATTTTTAAACACGCGACCCACCTCTGCTGAAAGCACAGCACAATCACAACATGTTATAGTAAGCGTTGGCATGCTTTGGAACACAGGATGACTCTGTCAATAGATTATTAAGCCTAGAGATGAGAGCCCAGCATTTCTGAGCTAAATACTACTTACTTCTATCTGTGCATCTCCATTGATTCTAAAGAGTTTTCATGGGTTTAACTGAAGACAGGATACGATTGTCAGCACCTAGTGCATGAAGACACAGTTGTCTGACATAATTAAAGCATTCAGGAGCTTCTAAAAAGCAAATTTTGGTCTTTTTGAACATCTTCAAGTCTGGTGTCCCAGGGAAAGTGAAGTACTGGGTACAGGATCTGGCAGGCACTAATATAAAAGCAACCTCAGCATGGATACTTTCAGGAAAAATCAGGGCAAATAATCAGAAACATTCCTTTGGCAATCAGATCTTCAGGTGAAGGATGGAAATAAAATTCCTTAAATTGAAGCTCTTCTGTGGAAATGAGACCCACCCAGAAGATGGAAAACATACTGAAATACAATAAACTGTCACATATAGCAAGTAGCAGGGACTAAAAGCAAAGGTAAAGGTCTACATATAAAATTTCAGAAATGAAAGCTGTCACTCTCAGTAAGAGCACCAGAAATATTTCTGCTCACACTTCAGTTCATCCACAAAACTCCCAAGAAGAGTTTCTTCCACGACACCTGGACTGTCTTGGTGGAGCATCAAGCTTATGACATTCCTTCTTTTGCAGCTATATTTATCTCCGTAGACTATTTTAAATTTTGTTCTAAAGATTAAGACATTTGCGTGGGAGGAGGATGAGCTGCATCCTCCTTCTGCAGTCTAAAAAACCCACGAGTTCAGAGTGTGGACTCAGCTAAACGGGCAAACATCTATACCTGATGATGGTCTAGCTACTCCTCAGAGAGGTTTCATGAGTGAATGGAACTGGTCTGGAGAAGGGACTAATGACATCACAGTAGTGGGCAGGAGTCTGATTTTGCTTAGTCATTGAAAGAATAGAGTATTACGCATACAAAGGGGAACACTGCCAATGAAAGAGCCTGAGAGTGCTCCAGCCCCTGCGCCTCATCGACTGAAGGAAAGGGTACATAGAGGAGACAGGCGTAGTGACTCTGGAGTCCCTTAGGCAGAGGTCGGAGCCGAAACACAGAGAATCTACAGTTTCCTTTGCCTGTTCTACATGTAAAAACATCTGATAAAAGAAAATTAAAAACCAAGTTTGGATTCACATTAAACCATTTCCCCCAACTTTTTTTTTTTTTTCATTTTGGTGAGAGGAAAGTTTTAAATGGTAAATTTTATTTGAGACTATTAAATATTTTTCATTACTTTCACTTCAGAAATCTCTTTTCACAAGGATTTTTAGAAGGAAACTGTTGTTCTTACAATTTGGTCTGCCTTCTCCTGTCACACACAACCAGCATATCAATAAACATTTTTGTTACAAAATTTGATTCTTCATGCCTGGAAAAAAGCCAACAATTTTGAAAAGAACTCCAGTCTCATCATACAGTTCCATAAGATGCAGAGAGATGAGTCTGTGCATTGCCAGAAAACAAAGCTCCTGCCTCCTACCAACATCTGCAAATTCCTGGTCTTTACAAAATTCTACTGTCTCAGGAGCCTGCCAGACTTCACTGTAGGCAACTTTAATTCCTTAAAATGGCAGAAGCAAAGCTATTAGATCAGCTGAATGTTTTTCCGCCGTGTTAATGAACAGGAAAAAAAAAAGCCCAAAGCAGCACGAGAGCTGCTGCAAGGGAGGGACAACTGCCTTGCCAGGAGCAGGGTGGAAAGAAGGAAACATAGGAGGAGAGGTGAGGAAGAAGAAGAGGGAATGCTCTCTTCCTTTTGGCAGCATCATGCCAGTAGGTCAGCTGAGCTACTGTCAGCCTCTGGTTTTAGAGGTCTCAACACTAACTGGTCTCTATTTTTAAGATGTTTATTAATGGAAGAGCTCATAAAAGGCTACTTTCATTTCTTGAGGGAACACTGTGAACACAAGTCTCCCAACCAACTTAATATGTGCTTGGGTTAGTACATCTGCCACTGGAACAAGTCCATTTCTTGCTAGGGTGAGATTAAGCCTTTTCATATATAAGTGCTGACTTGTCAGAAAATAATCTTCTTAAACATTTATTATTTTACCATCAAGGAATTCTGCAGTTTACTTAATCATAAAGGAAGGAATACATACAAGTTTGAAATATTTCCCATTTTTAACTGTCCTTAACTGTAAACCTTAGGGCAGGCTTTCAGGAGGTAAATTCCTTCTTTATATAAAAACTTGTCTTCCTTTAAGATAAAACTTATGTTTAGTCAGGCTTCCTAGTTTCTTTTACAAAGTTTATATAAGCCTTTTGCATTCAGTGCCTCTTACCTGACCAGCATGCATACTCCTGCATGTAAGGGAAATGTAGACATTATCAGGTTACCTTGAAAAATTCCAACTTTTCTAAGACTTGAGGTGAATCCCTGTATTTTGTTTACTTCTAAAAGATGTGTTCCATGACAGTGTTATCTCTGTTCCATATAACTCTCCTGCACCACTTTCCTACAAGAATTTTGTTGTGGATGTCCTTAATATTTCACAAGTGTTCCATAAAATACTGCTGTCTCTTTAGAATTTACTGTGTTCGTTTCCTGCCTGTAACTGCAGACAGAATATAATTCTTTTAGTGGTCTGTATGAATATTCATAAGTGACAAGCACTCTGAGTTCTAAAATACTGGATCAGGAGGTTTGGCAATTTTTAGATCAGGGCTTCTCTCAGTTGTACCCTGGGATTAAAATGTCTTTATTTCAGTGCAATAACAGAGGAAGAACACAAGATTACAATAGATTTTAACAAGAAGGAGATAACTTTGCATTATTTTTCATTCTTCTTTCAGTCTCCGTCACGAGGATGGAGTCATGCTGTGACATTCTTTTCTGGGTATTGGAACATGAGAAAGATATACTCGACTTTGAATGTCTCGAATTTTGTAACATATAATAGTTGAGTTTTACTTCTTTCACCCCAGTATTTTGCATTTTGATAGGCAAGTGCCACTTCACCGCTAAGGCCCTTCTGCTGACCTTTAACACAGCGGGTAGTTTTAGCAGTGCAATTATCAGGAAGGGTTGTGGTGTCCTGGAGGAAGTCAGCATGTGCACGTGTATAAACTGGGATATCAAGGATGTAAAAAAGCAGAGGAGCACATACCAGGCAAGTGAAGTCATTTGATCATGACAGCCCAGTCAAGCCGAAGTCAGACTGATGGTTATGTTGGAAATTCATGCTTAGCCTCCTTTATGCATTTGAGTGAAAACATAAGAGAGTAAAGATTAATGTGACCCCATTTTACTTTTTCTTCAACTACTACCATTTCCAATACAGAAAGTTCTGCCTACCAGTTAAGTAACAGGTACTCAACATACAGGAATCTAATTTACCCAATTGATATGTGTTGTTTATAAGTTTGATCGCTGGTTTCCAGTTTCACTACTGCCATTGGTCGCTTTACAGTTCTTAGATCATTGTTTTCAAATGTGGATGCCTAAAGCTATAAGCATGAACATATTTCAGAGTTTTCATCCTTAATATATAGAACTACCTTGTATGAGAAAGCAAGCCAGGATTTTCCCTTCAAAAACAAGAGGACAGCAATAATACAAGTTTCAGTGGGCTATTACTATAACATGTTCGTCAAAGAACAATCAATGTACACTGCTATAAGTAGAAAGCCTGCTCACGAAAGGTAAAAAAACCCAGACATAAATGTTCCACCTACTGTAGCTTTTGCTATTGCACTTGTAGTTAGCACCAGTACTGGTGCTGAGGAACTGCTCTTATTTTTGCTTGAACTGAAAACGTTCTCATGACAGAAGCATTTGTGCTATGTGTTACTTTTGCCCTTACAAATATAATTAAAGAAGTTTGGAGGGGTTTTCTTTCCCTTTAATGAGTAGCACCCTTTAGAAGCACACCCTCTTTGCTCTTTCATTCCTTACCGTCACTGTTTCTCTTTCCTTCGCTTGGTGGCTCTTGTTGTCATAGTTTGCCTTCCCAGGCTCCAGCCCCCCTCCATCTTCTTCCTATTCTCCCTCCAAACAAAACAAAACAAAACAAAGCTCTGTTCATTATTTTTTCTTCCTGAGACAAGTTCATGTTTTTTCAACATACTGCAGGAGGACAGTGTATGCTGATTTTGCTGCTTAAATATTATTTTTCATCGTTTCTGTGTTTATTTTTTCAAATGTGCTAAGAGACCTCCCAATGAGATCCCTTCTCTCTCCACAGTCCTCCCCTTAGGAATCTGGATGTTGCTAATATCTCTTGGGTAAAATCCAGCCACTGTGTCCACATCAAGTCAAGCTGAATTTACTCCATGCCCTGCAGCTGTTCTATGGTCTCCTTATTACAACACAAGTTTCTGTTTGTTTTATTTATTTATCATTTCTAAGTACTAGGTTTTCTGGCAAAATGTTGCCAGCTGGAAATTACATGGAAAATGTTTAGCACAGCTTTAATACATGCTCCAGAGTATGTGTACATGCATTTAATTCTTGGTAAATCAGCATTTAGGGAGTATGGGGAAATAGGCTGTGAAATGCAATCAGCTTGTCCTGAGCTACGGTGCTATTTAATAAAATCTCTAGAAAATTCAAATAGCAGAAACTCATCCAAGTCTTTAGTGCATGCATTTGCTCCTCCCTGAACTATCAATATCAAAATAGTCTCTTAGGCAACTATGTCAATGAAAAATGAACAAAAATAAATAGAAAAAAATGAATAGGTATTTCTGATGAATAACCATCATCCCTGACTGTGCTAAATCACATTTCTAATCTCTTTATTTTGAGCATTTATTAGCACGCACTTACTTCCCTCAGTTAAATAAGTATGAAGTGCTATAAATAATGTTTATGCCTCTAGGAGCTTATGTAGAGGGTCTTCTGGTTTTCTGTAGGCTTTCCCTCATTCAGAATTAACAAGTCAACTTCTCTGTTGACAAGGCATAAAATATAAAACAAGGAAGAAAACTGTGTATATCTGTATAAGGATCCTCTGTTTTCTATGTTTGAGGGGTACTGCATTGCCTCACAGATCCCCTCATAGTTGCTTGGTGCAACAAGAATTCCAATTTCAATGTCTGCTGCCATCATGCCCTGTCAGTTCAATAAAGATCTCTTCCAGCATGTTGGCCAAGCACATTAAGAGTAGGTCTGTCTTCCTCAGCAAATCATCTGTCGCTTTTATGTTGAATTCCTACCTGTGAATCATAACAAACACACACTTTGGTACTGACCTCAACAGGAATACCTCTGTGGACAACTCTACGTGTCATACATCCACCAGTAGAACTTGAAGAAAAAAGACAGGAAAAAAATTAGTAGAAACTTCTGGTGAGTATCAAGTTCTTTTCACTCCAAATTTCCATTTGATATTTCATGAGTTTTCTGGGCTGTTAACTAAAATATACTCATCTTAGATACTGATGAACTATGGTTTGGTTCTAATTCTGATACTTCAGTTAGAAGTGTAATTTATAAGCCATTTTTAGGAATGTTGTCCACCAGGATCCTTTTGGACTGGCATACAGCTGATTATTTGTGACAGTTTGGATCCTCACTACTTATACAAAAGTTAAATAAAAAAAATGAAACATATATAATGGCATTTGTCTATGTATTTGACATTAAAGTTCATTAGAGTCTAAATTCAGGTGTGAGTTCCTAATAAGACAAGGAACTGAAATGCATCTAATATATGCCTTTCTGAAGTCATCTTGATATGTGTATGATGCTCCACTTCTAATGAATTTATATTCACAATGACAAAGTTTCCTCCTCCATCTCTCCAGCATGCATCACCACTGACTCTAATTGTTTAAGGAAGATTGTATTGATGTAAGAGAATCATGGAACCAAAACACTTGAATTTAGGAAGAAAACCAAAACATGGAGGGCTTCAGATGTGTGTAAGTTAAAAGACGATCACTCACTCCTTACTTGAACACGCACATTCTTCTAGCTAGTTATGTATTGGTAAGCAAATGGCAAATGTTCAGGACAGTTTAAATCAAACTACAAAAGAATTTATATCAATATGCATGACTAATCAACCTAATCATTGTCTTACATATCACCTCTCACTTTGGACTCTTGAGTTCAAGCCATCGGAAAGGGTAGTTTTGTGACATTTAAACCTTGAAATGTGATATAGATTGATAATGACTTGAAGTTGTGACAACAGCTGTCTACCAAAGGACGTAACCATTTTGAGAACTGCCATCTTCCACCTCCAAAAATCTCCACAATGGATGTTGTGTCACGCAGTGGAGAACTCTGCAGCTCCTTCTCCTGATACATCTCTTTTCCAGAGTGAGTACATTTGTGGTGTTTCTCCATGCCAGGAGCTGGAATAGCAACCCTTATGACTATCTTATATTAAGGTATTGTGTAAATGTCTTTTGAAGGGTGTTTATTTACATCCTTACTTTCAGGCTATGTGGGGCGGGTAGTACGATACTCATCTGGACCACCAGGTACACGTCTTTGAACACAAACAAGGAAGACAATTGTGTGGGCTCCAACTCAAGACATTTGTTTTTCCAAGCTGATCTGTGGAACAAAAATA